AATTCAATTCTCTCCTGGAGAACGTCTTCGTGAGCCTCTCATGATTTCAGGATAGTTGAAACCCTCTTGAACATTCAGAAAGAGTGCATATGAAATTCTAATCACGAAAGGTGTTCCCCGAGGGGATCGAAAGGTGTTCCCCGAAGGGATACATACCTAGAGTTTGTTTTGTGAAGCACGTCAATTCTCTTGGGGAACGTCTTCGTGAGCCTCTTAATTCAATTCTCTCCTGGAGAACGTCTTCGTGAGCCTCTCATGATTTTAGGATAGTTGAAACCCTCTTGAACATTCAGAAAGAGTGCATATGAAATTATAATCACGAAAGGTGTTCCCCGACAGGATGCATACCTAGAGTTTGTTTTGTGAAGCACGTCAATTCTCTCCTGGGGAACGTCTTCGTGAGCCTCTTATGGTTTCAGGATAGTTCAAATCCTATGATGCTCCGATTCAATGCTCACCGATGATCTGAGCCATGGGGCAAGTTTGTTTTCCTAAGAATCTATTTGAACATTTCGAGAGCATATGTTTGAACATTTAGAGTGCATATGAACATATATTTACGAAAGGTCGCCTCCGAGGGGATAAATCACCATGTCGAACCTTGCATTTTTGTTCCTGCCTCTCGCGTTCTCTTCTCTTCCCGCTGTCCTACCTTTCGTGTCTCCCTCCTCTCAAGTGGCCGGCAATGCAGCACAAGAGACATCATTAGATTGGACTGAATCTGAATATCAGATAATAGCAGTGTGAATTGCAACTTGTTGGAACTGTGCCACGGGTGTTTCTTTTGGTCAACCACACATCGAGCCATTTCAACCATGTGGGAGAAGACCTCAGATGCATATCATCGTCCATTGACCTCAGATGCGTCCTGCTTGCGGCGACACATTGCGACACCCATTCTCACGTCATGGATCTGAGCGACCTCGGAACGGATCAAACTCTCAAAGCATCAGCGCAGGAAGGGTGGACAGTGATGAGAGGACTTATGGTTATCACTACTACTACTGTCATATAATGGACACGGTGATATGGTCCGTGACATGGTTTTTGTACAGACTGGCATTTGCATACTTGGCATACGTCGGACATCATGGGCTTTTGTGTGTTTCGTTTGGGCTGTGCTTGCTGGCCTGTTCGATTATGTAGACTTTAAACCACTTATATAATCAATCTTAATTCTATAGCTATAGTCACTTGAAGGACATGCCCACCCGCGCAACAGGACCTGATTAGTGAGGATAATTGGACCTCCTTGGATGCACCTCTTTTGTCAGATGCATCAGGTTCGGCTTGTTGAGAGGCATCCATTCACAGAGACCGACGCGGACCATTTGACAGATACAGACTGACGAAACAATGACAGAAAAAGATAAATTCATGGCAGGGAGAGTCAACATATGTCAATATGGCTGGATGTTTGGATGATGTCACAGCACCAAAGCGTTCAGGTGGAGGTGAGATTGATGCTGCTTTCAAGCATGTTGGGAACTTCTTCATGCTCAGGCTCAGGACTGCTGTGCAAGCCTCTTGCCTTTGCTAACTTGTTGGGCCTACCGAGCTTTGGAGAATTGGGGAAACTTGATACGGTGAAAGAGCCTCGGGTCCCGCCCCGGTCGTCAGGTCCCAGGTGACCTTGGACCCAACGAACGACAAACAAAAACCACAAATGTCCATCACTTGTTGGCTTTGCGTACCCGGCTTGACCCATTTGGCCTTTTGAACAGTGGCGTAGCAGTACTGATGGTCAGCGTTCAAGAGTTTGTTGTCAATGAGGGCAATTCACCCAAACGATTCGAGGAAGCTTTCTGCGAGGTTTATGAAGCATGTGATGATGTGTTGATGGGCTCCATCCGCTGGTGCCAACCCTGTGCATTTGTGACTCTCTTTCTCTCTCTCTTTCTATCGATACTATATATTATATATATAGTCACTATAGCTGGGAACCAGTGTATTTTGCTAGCTTGCTTTGTTCTTTCTTGAAGTTGTTGGATAAATTGTTTTGTGACAGCAAGGTCGGTTCGTGGAACTTATTCCTTAGGACCATCATGAACCTTCTCACTTTCGGCCTTTTGGTTGACTTGGAACACCAGCGTGTGCCTGTGTTGATGGTATTGGACTGCTTTGCACCGGGACTGCCCATGACTGCCTGATGCGAACACATGACGTGGTTCATTTCAGCGTGTGTTTTTTGTTATTTGATGTTATTTGTGAGTGGTTGATCCACACTACCCATTGGGAGTCATACATGCATCCTTCACACCAGGCACGCCAGGACCGATGTTGCGAAGTGTTCTAAATTTGCCCAGAAACGTATGCTGAGTCTCCCTTGGCGGACAACACCGCGCTGGGCCTTTTCCCGCGGCCGGAGACCTTGCTGGACAACGAGTTGCTTCGAAGCTTAGGCCTCGCGGCAAGGTTGGCGAAAAGGGAGAAGCAAAGAGTGGATGTTGGTTGGTTTTTGTGTGTGTGACTGTTTGTTGGCAGGATCATGAGATTGGGTTGACTAGCTGTGATATCTTAGTTGGCCTGCCGATATTGGCATTGGAACTAGACTCCTAGACGACAAGCATCGTCAAAGTATAGATGAACGATGGGCAATGTCAGCTCCAAAGCTGCTCTCAATCAAGATTCTCAAACAGGCTGTATAGGTGCAGTGCAAACAATTGAAATTGAATTGTTGGTGCACATCGTTCCTTTTTGTTGGCATGCTGTTGTCATAGCAGGCCTGACCTTTGGCTGCCAACTTAGGCATAGACTTTGATTGCTGGAAAGGCACTACTGAGGACATTTTGTCACCAGGCCGGGGCTTTTTCTTCAAAGGCATCAAAAAGTGTTTATGGCCAAACACCACTTCCGCCAGCAAACATAGCCTTTGAGCAGTTCAGGCGACATAATTGCAACGGTCATATTTGGCAATGGCATGATTCCTTCAATGAGCAAGGCTGGTGAGCAGGGCTGGCAGCAGTAGTTTGACCTCTATTGGGTTCGCTGAAACCGGCTTATTGTAAATGCTGGACACTTTTGCAATGGCACACTGCGAGTGAGAAAATGCAAAAAGTGTTCCTTGAACGGTGCAACTCAATGGCCTCAAGTTGGTTTGGACTCAATGCCCTTTGGGTGTCATTCCACGTGCAATTCTACCTGGAAATATGTTTTTCTTGTTGTGATGTCGTCGCAACTCTCCAGGCTGGTGAACAAGTGGCGCTGATGACAGGCTCCAGACCACCCGTGAACTTCGAGGTGGAGTTCCGCGAGCGCAGCTTGGGACGCAGAATGTTGAGACCTGCGTTGCTGCTGAGACAACTGAGAAGCCAACCGCTTGAATCGGCTTAGGGCGTAGGGTGTTCAATTAGGAGAACCGTGCTCTCCAGCCAATGCAATGCTTCAGGTGTTTGAGAATATATAAATTTGATGGTGTATAGATAGATAGATAGATATTTGTATATTTGAAGTCTCCTAATGTTTGAAGTAAGTATCCTGATGACTCGCTGTGGCGATGTACCTTTGGACGACTCAGGTATTGTTCAGTGGCGAGACTTCCCAAGTCCAGGCAGAGATTGCATGACCTTGTCTCGGTTGGTGTCGGTGTTTGTATTTTGAGCTTGTGCGTGTCGGCTTATTTGACACGTTTTATTTGTACGAGTTCTTTTTGCTTTGATGCTTTCTGGTTGAACTAGAAGCCTTTTCGCGACCATTGGACAAAACGCAGTGCATCCGCATTCAAAAGTTGTAGTGTTTGAACTAAGCGCGTCAGAGCCATTTTTGCGGATTTGTGTCCAGATGTGACCTATGATGACATATATAGTTATATACATATACATATATATATATATAAACACTGTATATACATAATTATTTCAGAACATGTACCACTTCGTCCGAATATTCTCCACAGGGCTGCTGACCCTTGTGGAGATCCCTTTCGATGAAGAGTCTCAGACCTTCGTCTCTCAAAGTGGAGGGCATTTTGCCACCGCAGCGTGGAGGGCAATGCGGCGAAGCGGACGCGAAGCGGACCGTTTCGGGATAACATGATCGAAGGCGAAATGAAATAAACATGAGATAACAGATGGTGCAGTCATGACTGTTCTTGGGAGTTGGTGTTTTTGTGAAGGCGAAATGAATTCCCAAGCCCAGATTTCGCAATATGGAGACTGAGGTAACGGTGGTTGAACCACATCCTCAAAATTCCGACCAGATGATTGTCACCGTGGGGCTTTTTGTGACCGGCCATGCCTTTCCTGCATGGGCCTCGGCCCATTTGGCCCAGATGGCACCTCGGCCCATTGGGTCCGGCATATTGATTCAAGGTGTACTACAAACCACGTCCGGCCCCACGTGGTTTGTTGAAATGACCGAAGTATTCCAATACAGTTACAGTAACTAGAGTATTAATAGTAGTAACAAGGGCATTGCTACTAGTAACAAGGGTATTATACTAGTAGCAAGCGTATTACTACTAGTAAGAAGTGCACTTACCATCACTTACCTATGAAATGGTTTTGGTGATCCTCATTTGTGCCCGGGACCTCGGCCGAGGCACAATCCATTGCACAGATGATTCATGTTAGCGCCGCTTCCTTTCAGAACATTGAACTTCTCGCCGAGGTGCCGCAGCTCTTTTGTGTTGTGCATCCTCTCCTGTGAATGAACATGATTGAACAAGAGTTGAACTAGTCACTATGATTTACAACGGTTGATCGATTCCGGGTTTCTCAGGGATGTATGATTTGGTACAGTATTTTTTTCAGGGAAGTCGCCTCGGGAGATTAGAACACGTGCCTGATGACATCTACCGCCCAAAGCGCACAAAAACTGCCCAAGAAAGGCACCCATTTGGCCAGAGTGCATGACGCTGGTGAACGACCCCAACGCTGCAAACGGCAACCTCACATTGTCCAGGCAGATGCAGACTTCTACTCGGTCCTCTCTTTGAGGACCTGCCCCCAAGGGCGGCCCTTGTTACCCGGAGCTCTTCCAGAGCACGTGCTCAACCCAAATGAGGCACCTAGGGATGCAGCAAGGAACAGATCACTGCGTTGGTTGTGGCATGGTGTTCGCCAGTGTCAGCGCTGTTCGACACCCAAATGCACCCTTGGGTGGTCCGAGTGCCCAATCATGCCCAATCAATTGATCCTGCCACTCAGGATCCATGGTGCGTAGTGCTGGACCTACCTGAAGAAGTGGCATCTCACTAGAAATGCTTGACGGACTATTTTTTGTGCCACACTGGGAAGTCGCAAGCCTTTGCAAAGGTGTTTATGTGCAACACCTTGCAAAACATGCCAGCTGCTGCATTGAAGGTATGCTATGTCCCTTTAAAGTTCCTTTTGAGTGTCCAAGTGGTTGACGCACCGAGGAGTACAAGCTCTCCTTTTGGTTTCGGCCATTTGGAGAATTTAATTTTCCCAACTACCTGTTCCTTTTCTTAGCGGCGATTGGATGTGCCGAGGTGGATGGCCGGGATGTTGCGAAAGAACAGACACGGCGTCAGACGCGAGTGAAAGTCACCGGAAAGTCACCGTTCCAAAAGCCCAGACTTCGGACAAAAACGTTCTTGACGCAGGTACAGGTCTTCAATAGCATGGATGGGCGACTACTAGTACCTTACCAGGCAGTTGTGCGACGTGCTCAATGGATGTCTGTGGCCAAGCGCTTCGATGCCGCTTGGAAGGTGCATAAGGCCTGCCGGGACGGGAGCTGGGGACGGGAGCCGTTGCGTTGGACTTCTTGGTGCGGTGTAACGAACGTGAGAGTCAAAGCCCATACGTAAGGGCTTCGTTGATGAGGTTTGAGGTTTGGACTCTGGAGATGCTCGAAGATGAGATCAGAGAAGAAACAAGCCAAACAAAGAAGAGAACTAATCTGGAGCTGTCAGTGGCTGTCAGCAAAAGAATGAGCACCCTGGAAACTTTGATCATCAGTTTTTGCATGGTTTTAGGAAACGGTTTGTATCAGCCAGTCACTGGTTGAGTGGAGCAATTATAAGGCATCTACTACGGCATTGAACCCACATTAACGAACAGCATCCAACCGGAGCTGAAGATTCGAAATGCGGAGAGATCAACAGACAGTAGCTTCATGACTCAGTTGGTACCAAGTTGCATGGCAGACTCGTGTGCTTGCATCGAATATCCGCAGATGGCGTACCGGAAGCTCAACGGAACGAAGCATGCTCCCACCATCTCTGAGGCTTGCGACCCAACTCTGATCGATGTTTGATAGATTTCAGTGTACTGTGGTGTATGTTGACAGGCGTGCCTGTTGTTCAGAGAGGATGGTGTGATGTCCTCCTAGGGAACTAGCGAGACTGCCAGACTCCAGTTTCTCTTTGTGGCTGCCTGGGGCCGACCCGAGGCCAAGACGCCACGCTTCGCGGAAGTCTCGGATGATATCAGGGACAACCCGCCGTCCATTCCGCTGAAATCCTTGATCACTGTCCCTGAGAGAGGAATTCAATTGGAATCATTGGGTGGAAAAACGGGCAAGCACCTTCGTTTTGAATACGAAGTTCACATATACAGCAGCTGACATCGACATCCCAACCAGCGAAACATAGGGCACGCGGAAGCACCCACCAGTTTGTTCCCAAAAAGGACGGACAACATTTGGAATTTTGGAACCTTTGAGGTCCACAACACATTCATTGAAGTTGATGATGTGCCTGAAGCGCCAGTGATCTCACGCACCAAGAGCTTTTGAGAGAGTTGGTGGGGCCGCTTCTTTCTGGGCTGCTTTAACCCATGTTCATCCAGTGCTGGGTGTTCTTTCAATCAGGGAAGCACGTTTAAACTGTCAGTCTTGAGGTAGTCAGGCCATGTCACGACCACCTGCTTGTTAAGTTGCAGGGAATCGTGAAGGGCTGGCTACTGAAAGTATTTCTGACCTTCTGGGGAGTTCAGATTAAATCTTGAATCTTGACCATATTCCTCAGCTGCTTCAAGTTTCCAAGCAAGTTTGCAAGAGAGCAGCTAGGCACAGTGCCCCTGTTCCCCCGTTTTGGGAAGTTGAACTCGATTCTTGCGGCACCAGGGAGATCACATTGTAGGGAGGTCCCATGTGCATAGAACATTTACAATGTTGCGAAGAAGCTGAGGTAAGGAGTATGAAGATGTCAAGGCATCTAGCAAAAGTAGGAAAAGACGGCATAAGTTAAGAACTTTGACCCAACTGGTGTTGTTTACACATGCATACTTTGCAAATATATATATATGTATATCTTATACATATCATATGCCGCACCGTACATTTACAACACATTGGCCTCGTGTTTGTGGACGTCTCAATTTGTTACAACATTGAGAAGAGCAGAAGCAGATCCCTCAGAGTTTTTGATCATAGAGGTGAAGCGGCCCAAGAGTCCCAAAGTTTTACTGAACTCATGTAGAAGCGGCTAGCGGCTAGTGATAGCTAGTGTGCTCATTCTTGATTACGACACTGTACAGCTTATAAGCGGATGCCGGATTGGCGCCTCCTTCATGCATGCCTTGAGGCCATCCCATTTCCAGCCCTTCCGTGGCACTGCTTGTTTGTTTGTTGTTTTGTTTTGTGTATTTTTTGCTGAATGTACTTACGTTGGGACAACTTGACTCAAAACCGGCCAAGGGCATGACAAGTCTAGAGTCATTTGAGTTTGTGCCTCCTGTGCCATATACATTGCTACAGCTGTAGTTGCACAAGCTTGGTCCGTTTCACCCCCGCAGCTTGCACCAATTGCCACAGAGATGGGTCCTTCAACTCTCCGAGTTCATACGTGTTCTTTTGGTGTTGGCAGTCGCTGGCACGTGGCAATTTTTCGGTGTTCCTGTGGGTTGATCTTGCCAGAGACGTATGCGCTGGTCGAGAGCAAGAAAGGTCGGCAGCATAATGACTTTGTACACTTGCGTAATTTGAAGGAGAGTAGAGGACAGCCATAACCATCCCAAGGTCCCAGAGCCTCTTTTTATTGGTTGTTTTGAGTCACATAGCATATTTTTTTACCAAGGCTTGGAGCCAGGCTGCGGCGGCGAGACTGCATTTCCGCACTTGGGCTTTCAGGCTTTCCGTCATCGGCGGTCGTTTCTTCAACGGATGTCTCGGGTGATTTCGGAAGGTTGGCTGACTGGGTTTGGTCCGTCTTGGTGCACGTCAGGTCCGACCAGCCAAGCACACTGCGGTGCTCCTCAGCTCAACATCATCCCCGTCTCCGCACCCGCAGTTCGACCAAGCACAGGATTAATTAGCAAGTTCTATTTTTTTTCCATCAATCAACCCGCGGAGTTTCAGAAGTATTGACTGTTCTAGATTGCGGAGTCACAGTGCAACCAAAATAGTTGTGCAGACTTGAGGCGAGGCAAAGGAAGCCTCTTGAATCTTGTTGAGCTTAACCATGTATAGTAGGTGAATCGCTCTTGGCTTTCTCAGATGTGGCCGTGAGTCAGTCAAAACCCCAGGGACCTTGATTGACCCCAGAATATGAACAGAATGGCCTACCAGGGAGGTCAATCTAAGAGGGTTTTGGGCTCCAGCTTTTTGACCCACAGCATCACAGCCATGACACCTTCGGCTGAGGATGTGGCACAACCGAACTGCTTGCGGAGAAGGAGATATGAGACTCAAGCACGAGGCCACCAGTTGCACATCGCTCCAGTCGCAAGTGTTTCCATGGCAGCACGTTTCCTTTGTGCGTTTGAGATATATAAAAGTCAGAAGGACCTGATTCCTGATGCTTGAGTTGGGAGGCCAAGCCAGTTCTGGATGGCATCAAGTACGGCATGAATTGTTTTGTGCATGCCTTGGTCACAAACACACACACACACAAACACAAACACACACGGACACAAAAGGTGGCAGAGATTTCGCTTAAGAGAATTTCTCAAAGAAGAGTAGATGGCACATTCCTCAAAGGTGGCGTGTATGGACCCCAATCTGTGGCACTCGCTCTAGGTCAATTTGCATCCGCAACGTGACGCGCCCCTTGGCTGCTGGATTGGACCCTGCTTCTTCTTGGAATGGTTCGATTCATCAGTTGTTTTAGCTTTGATCGCGTGCCTGTCCTTTTTCGTTCCTTTTTGTTCGTCCCACTTGTTTTATGGCAGGAGCAATGTCACGGTGTACCAGCAGACAGAAGATGGCGATCCTGTGAAAGTTGAAGGCTCATAGGCATCGTTCGTCCAACAGTCATGTTTGAAGGTTTAGATATATATTGAAACTGAAACTAAAACTTGGCTGAACCTTTTCTTCCATTACTCATTTCTCGCACTGGCCGTGTCTAGTGTTCGGGTCATTCAGTTGGTCAATGACTTCCAATTCCAATGCTGGAATCGATGCGAAGCCATTTGGTAAGCCCAAACCCGTCCGTTGAGCAGTGGAGAATGGAGGTGGGATTCAATTTTTAGGACAAGCGGAATCTTGTGGGAGGAAGTCTTCCACTGAACAGGCAAGCTACTGATGACTAAATTTACTGCTGTGACTGTTGTCAGCTTGCAGCTCTAGGATTTTGTGTTGAACAGTGCAAACATTTGCAACCACTATTGTGGCCGGCACGTTCTTAGCAAGTCGCCGCTAGGTTGCACAGGCTGATGTGGCAGGCGTTTCCTGCGATCATTTTCGGGCTTTGCCAACCTGACAATGCCGTGCCGGCTTTTGAGCTCTAGAGACTCACAGTCACGACTCGCAGGTGTGAAGCCCACTGAGACGTCACCACCCACTGGCGCGCAAGCCGAGGAGACTTGGTAGCTGAAGGATGCGGATGCAGCTTTGTTTGTGGGTCACGTTGAATCTGAAACAGATGACCCTGAGGGCGGACACCTTTAGCAGATACAGGTGTTTGCGGTTCGATCGTGTTCCGTTGTTCTTCGCCGTCTCCGCCAGCAAGTCAATCTGAAATCCATCCAAATGACAGCTCTCGCCAGCCTGAGGTGATTGAAGCTCCTGCCACTGCAGCCGCGCCCACTGACTCGGTTGGCTTTGGAAGGCCAGCTGTGGCTGTTTCAAGCGTGGTGATGGTGGGAGATACAAGACTAAAATTGACAGAAGCTGCTATAGAGGAGTCAAGGAATATGATTACAGTGATCGCAGGTGCAAAGAGGTTTTGGACTTTGTTCCATGGCCCGTCGACCTTTGGCTCGGGCTTCGAAAGGCATGGCGGCATGACCTATGAAGAGCTTTGGATCAAGGAACCGCAGCGCGAACCTCGGGGTGCAGATCTAGCGGTTTTGATTCTAGTTATACTATAGTTGAGCAGCCCAAAGAATCAATTTAGTCAATGGACGCAATTGACGCATGTCATTTTTATCAGCATAGATAGAACCATAAGACGAGGCACCTCGCAGATCCCAGCCGCATGGTTAATTGCTTTCATCGCGAGGTATTGCTTGTGGGTGATCACCACCTTCCGGCAACAAGTTGCTGAAGGGCTCCTTAGCTGAGCACTTGAAGCCCACCAAACCGGACCCTTTGATGACTTATTTGCAGTTGGTCAGGTCAGAGGAAGCCACTCCCTGGAAAGAGGGCGAGAGGCCGATGAAGCGTTTTGCCCAGTGGGTCATAGACGCTGGGTTGCAAACACACCAAAGTTTAGTTAATTTCAACATCCTAACCAGTCCTTGGCCCCAACACGCTTTGAAATCCGTGTGGTATCTATTGGCCTGGGGTTGCGCAACGAATTGCAAGCATTCCAATCTATGCAATCTATGCAACGGCTGATTCTATGACACAGTTTCACTGGTGCATCATGGGTCGTGTCAAAATGATGAGAGTGGCTGGCTTCATTTGGCCCAGAAACCAAGGAGAAGGATAGACTTTGCGAAGTTCATGGACCTGCCTTTGAGTACAACGCTGACGCTTGTTCCAAATAATATAGGTCCCGGTGCCCAGACGACTTGTGGTAGTGTTTGGACCGGTTTGGATGCTGAAGTCCCCAGCGTAGACAAGCGAACCAAAAGTATGTATTTATATAGGTCTATTTTTAAAGATTTTGGCTAATGCCTCCCCAGCATTCCTATTTTAAACCAAAACTCGGAATCCATCCTGCAGACCCACCCGTTAATTCATTCATTGCTTGATTTGGCGAATGTCCGAGGACATGGAGCTGATTGAAGTTCCCAACACACGCTCCTTGAAGGAGCGAGCAGGGCCCGAGAAGAAATCCAAGTTCTACGGTGTCACAAACTCAGCCATATTGCTTGTTGCTTCAATAAAGGTTTTGGGAGGCCATCGCCACTATGTAGGGTGGAGGCCACCGCTATTAGGTTGGAGGCCATTGCTATTTGGT